TAAGGGTATACAGATAGCTGATAGCCAGACAAATATCCATATTTCTGTGTGAGTATCTTTGTCTGCACATATATTTTCTGAATCAACTAGTACTAGGTCGCTTTTTTTTTTACAACATATTTATTAATGGATAAAGTGGAAATGGATTTTCAAAAAAAATCTGTATGTCATATATATATATATATATATATATATATATATGCATATATATACAAATTCTTGCACATATGCCAAGCGTATATATAGTTAATGTCTGTTCGAGTATGGAATGACGTAGACATGATTAGGTGTGTGTAGACTCATACTAACAAGGACATTTTGTCTTTTTTTTTAACTAGATCTTATATTTAAACTTATACTTTGATCATTTTATCTAAATGCTGGCTATATAGCTTATTTTAATTACCACGTAAAGTGACATGCTCTTCTGGTTACAAGCAGAGGGGTCAGAATAAGAATCCTCAAGCCCAGACAACACAGACTAGCATAACCCTGCTCTAATAATCAAGAAAACTCTCAATCCTTCTGTCTTGTAGCCATAGCTTCACTCTGTGTTCAGCAATGTCTAGTCTCTTTTCAGTATAACCAACAGAAGCACCATACAAAAGTCTTACAATGGATGTCTTAATCTCTCTGTGTGCTTTTAGAGCATTATTTTTGAATTCCATCATGCAGCCTTTTCTCTTTCCTCTTCTGAAGTTTTATTACAACGGCAGAATTCCCAGGGAGCTTTGGGGGCAAGGTTCACATAATATGGCCCTGAAGTTTTGCTGCAGGGTAGAATCCATACTCCAATCCTGACCATCTTTTGATGATCTTTCTATTTCAGAAAGATTATTCTGGATATAGAATCTTATGGCATTAACTGTATACAGTTGTTGTGTGTGTGTGATTTTTTTTTAAATTACTAGATAGTGAGCATGTACAAACCTTTCATGATGATTTCTTTCTCTGACCTCTCAGTGACTAGGCATCTTGTTCTTTAACATTGAGGGAGGCAGAAAAATGCTTGAGTTGCTCAATGTGTGCCTTCTATACCAGTTTCAAAATGGCTTATTCTTCTGGTTTCCATGGTGACAATTAACACTGTTTCAAGGCATTGTTCCAGTCTCCATTTGGGCAGAATTTTCGGGTGTGATTTTTCACAAAAAAAAAAAAAGAAAGAAAGAAAAAAAAAGGTTTTAGAAAAAAAGCAGCCTTTAGCATAAGTGTCAAAAAAAGTTATCTCAATCAAGTCTTCTTGCATTTCTTAAAATATTTCTTTCAGAGAATCCTGCTTTTGCTTTCTTTGTTTTGGAATTCCCCGATAGCCCTTATGCTTGCAAAGCATAGCCACTGAGTGACTGAGAATTGGCCAAACTTCTTCAGTTCACATTTTTTGCAATTAGTTGGTCTGAGTTTTTGTTTCCCTTTTGAGCTTTCATTGTTTTATTTTTCTTTTGGCACAGGACAGGAGGTAGGAGGAAGAATATCATTCCACTTTAATTTAGATCTTTCCCAGTTCTGTTAGGCAGATTCATGAGCAAAATAAGGAAATTGTGCAGGCAAACACATTTAAATAATGTAAATACTCTTCTTTCAGTTTGGCCTCCTTTTTATTTTTTCTATTTTTGGTAGGACAGAGAAGGTTATACAGCAGGTGCTATGACAAAATAAAACATGGTGTGTTTATTTACTGCAATGGTTGAGACCAGTCATCTGACTTTAACTTTGTTAATCTCATTTTTGGCTATTGAATAGTCATCTATATCATAATATCCCTAGACTATAGGACACAATGGGGGCAGCCTTTGCTCACTTACTGCCATGGAGAGAATGAATATGAAGATTAAATTATCTTCTCTCCACCGAATAAAATAGTCCTACCAGAGATAGGGTGGTCCAGACTGATACATCTGATAAGCTGATTTCCTTCCACAAATACTTTTCTAGAAATCTTGGAGAGAGAAGCAAATGCCAAAACAACAGCGGTAGCAACAACAACCCACACCCCTCCACACATAAAAATAAAACCCAACAACCTACCCAAAAACATTAGCATCTAGAGCCTCAGGGCATAAATCATAACTTGATTTGAGGTTCAGAGCTCCTCAAAATTAAAATAAATATTTCACCTTAAATTTATAAGTGACAGGCTAGTGGTCTTCATTCACAAACCCATACATCTAACAATTAACTGGATCCCTTCACTTTTTATAGTTAGAAGGCATCGTCTATCAATCAACAGCTTTCGCTAAGCTATTTATACTGTATCTTACACTGCGATGGAGACAGAAAGGGTGCATCACAACAAGTTTATTTTTTTTGCACAAAATCACTTTTTACATCGGTTATACTAGTGGCTACTTGTGCTGTGGTACACTAAGAAAATTATTTTAGTATCTCCCAAGTTAAACACTTTAAAAAAAATTATAAGACTATCATTATTATGGATGATACCTGACCCATTCTTCCCTCTTTACTGAATTCATAATATTAAAAAAAATAAGCATTAGGATTTTGGGAAGGGGACTTTTAGGAGGGAAAGAGATAAAATTATTTATTCATAGGTAAATGTGGCTACTACTGGTCCAGTCTGCTCCATTTTTACACAGCTAGAGGACTCCCTCTGTCTGCTAATTCACTTGGCATCAGGGAAGGAGTAACCTGAACAGGATTTCTGTGCCTGACTAACATAGATCCAGCAACCCCCATATTATGTAGCCTTACAGAATTAATTATGTAAATCTCTTCAATCGACATCATCTTTAGATAGAAATCTGATTACATAAAGCAGGTTGTCATCTCTTCCAATCAGCACTCTGGCTGAATGGAGAAGCTAGCTGGTGCTTCATGCAATACTTGTTGAGCGTTTATAGCCAATAAAAATGGGTGGACAATTTAGTTACTCCATGCTGGAGTCAAGCAATTGTTGCAATCATCTGCTTTTAGAAGTCATGAACTAGATTTTCTGTGAATCACCTACCAAATTCACAAAGAGTCTAAGTCAACCCTTGATTTTTTTTTTACTATGCATATTCATGTAATTTGGGGTACTCTGACACCCTGATAAACATTCATAAATAATACAAAATGCTTTAAATCTCATTTAAAACATTTTGTTCTATGATCTACAAATGACTAACATTTGGCGAAGTTTACATAATACAAATGATATGCATGTTTAGTGTAAATGAAAGATTAAAATATGAAACTAAGAGTATGCAAACATATGCATGCAAATGTTAGAGTTCCATTAGCTGAAGTAGTCAGTTCACACCTTTCTTATTTTCTCTGAAGCTCTTTCCATCCGTATTTTTTTTTTAAATCATGTCATGTTCTGGAATAAATGCACCCAAGTTTTTGTGTTTCTTGGATCCCCCCCCCCTTTTAGGTTTAATGTTCCACCGCTTTGTCTAGTTCATAGCATTTCCTCTTGGGTTCATTAATGGTTTCTCATTAATGGTTTCTACCTATTTCACTTAAAGACAAGGAATACCAACCACCTGGGACTGGTTACTCTACCAAGAATGAATGAAGTTTAGAGTGTATTTTTTTTTAAATTTTGGATAGGTACTGAATGAGTGAATGGTTTTTTCTACCCCCCCATAATCTAGACACTCTTTTATGCTTAGAGCTATTTTTATATGAAACTGGGGGGGGGGAAGAATTAGGCATAATCATTGTAGTTGTGCATTCTATATGACTTTCTAGCTAAGAAGTTATTTGAGTTGTGTTCTCTGAGGAGTCACCATAGTAACTGTTATATTGTATAGCACTTACATTACCTCTGGCAAAATATCTTTCTAAAGAGGCTCACTTGGCAGTGTGTCAGTTGTACAATATAAATTTTTGGGGTAAAGTGGGTGCTGTAGCCAACTGTTATGTTTTGAGACATTGTACGGCAATTTGGGAAAAGGGGAGAGCCATGCTATTTCCCTCCCCTGCCACCCCCCAACTATTCATTTCCATTCTGCTTCCTCTTCCCTACCCCTCACTCCTACCCCAACTTATAAGAAAAGGAAGGTGAGTCATTATACTGAAAGTCAGATGGAGAGGATATTGAAACATATGACCTACATGGAAAATTTGGTCAGACAATGGTGAATGTGATGTTTCCTGGGGCTGGGGATATGAGGGAAATATCTGGACCTAAAAGTTTAATTGCCAGAATTTTACTACAAGTTTTGTTCTTACAGTCTGGGATTTTTAATTATAAGTTAAATTTGCACTTACTATTATGGCTTATGACAGAAAACTGAGCCTACAGATACTAGTAGTATCTGAGGGATTTGTCTCTTAGAGATATATCTCTTATAGTAGGTTCTTAAAAACTTATTGATATTATGACTATATTTGTGAACATGAATGCATAAATACATATCTGTTTGTGTATATGCATATACATTTATAGGCATGTTATTTTTAAATAATATAAACCTATGATTTCATCAGTGCGGGGAACTCCCACTTTGGAAACTCCCACCCCCTAAGCAAATCAGTAATCAACACTACAAAGTTAAATGACCTAGAGGACTACTTGTGGTTAAGCTTACCATATTACACACAAGGCTTGAACCCAGGCCTTCCAGTCCCCAAAACTGCATATGCTGTCTTTGCTCCAACAGTAAAAAGAACACTTGGCTTTGGAGTCAAATGGCCTAGGTTCAAATCCTGACTCTTTTACTTACTCTCTGGGTAATCTTGGGAAAAATTACTCTACGGACATTTCCAACCCTAGATCTATGATTCTTTCTATGTATATATCATATTTAAAATATATATAAAGTCTGTTTTCAATTGTAATAATTCTTAACAGCATTCATCCAATTCAAGATACCTTTACCTGGAACATATTAAAATTTACATTGGGAACAAAAATAAAAAACTACAATATTTTAAGGATGAAAAACACAAAATTAGCACCTCCTTACAAAAATGGGCAATGTAATACTTGTGATGAGATTTGGATAGGAAAACACCTCTCTCTAATGATCCCTCTCTCTCTCTTTTTGTTTTAGCGATACAGTGTAGAAATGTCAATCAGGCACCCGAAAAAGATGGCGCTGCTTAGGAAGGTTGAAGATTTGAAGAAAGGTGGTGCTTTACTACAAAACGATCTCCTTGAAAAAGTGGATTCAATTAATGAAAAATGGGAGCTGCTTGGGGTATTTGCATTTTTATTACTGTTTGTAGGTTATGTGTACATTTTTTGGTGTAGTGAAGTACTCTATCTGTCTGATTTCTAATTTGAGGCACAAATATCTCTCTCTTTCAATTCACTACCTACATTTCAAACAAGCTACTCATGCTATTATGGGGGGGGGGACCCTGCTTTTCCTCTCCTGTTGATTTTTTTTTTATTCTAAGCCTGTCTCCTCTCTGACTTTTAATAATTTTAGTTCTTTAATACATAAAAAGTAAGTAAAATATGCCATGTATTATGGGTATGCACCAAGTCAACTATAATACAGTATATCTGATATACACTGACTGTCATGCTTGAGTGAATGTTAATAGAATTTATTCTGAAGGTACATGTTAGAGACATCTACCGTTTAACTATTTACTGTACCCTTAAGATGAAAAGTGGGGTTGTCACTACAGATTTCAAGTCGTACTCAGGACTCTAAAACAAAGAGGTAAATTGGGCCCAAATCTGAAAATCTGAATTACAGAATTAAAGCAATCTCTCTTTTCAGGCCCAGTTTACAGCTTACTTTTAACAAAAGCTCCCCAAAAAGTTTTATGTAATTCATTTCATGCAATGATGTGCTGAGTCTCAGCCAAAGACTGAGATACAAGAATCTGGAGGGGGGGAAAAAAAGCAATATAGTGACTATTACCCAGAGATCAGGGATAGCACTGTGTAGGAGACAATATTGTTCTGTTGTTGGAAGATAGCTGAGAAAAACAGGTTAAACTATTTTGCTTCTAAGTTGCCTTTACTTCAAATTAATGGTAAGATAAATTTGTAAATTACTTAAATAATTAATTACAGCTGTTTCATATCGATGATATTCAGTTAGGGAACATAATTCTGCTTGCCTCCCTTTTCCTTTAAAAAAAAAAGTCCTAAAATTGTAGGAAATAAAAAGCTGTCCATGTAACGATGAAATCACAGGCTTTGGTTTATGCCATGTTTAGCCTGTGTACTAATATAATGGCAATTTCACATCTTTGTTTGCTCATCCAAATTCAATTGAATCTGCAAATATGCAAGGTGACTTGAAATGTTAAAAGTTTTTCCTGTTACCCATTGGTTCAACACTTTTCAGAAGTAATTGACAATACTCCTCTCAGTAATACTGTGGGTTAGACCAGATTCCACTAATTTTTGCACATTCTGGAATCTAATAAAGGCAAATGTATGATGGAACTTTAAAAAGCGGTAGTTCATTAAAAGTCAGACAAGAAAAGTGACTTTATATGTTTTATCAGTTTGATTGGGAGCATAATAATGCACTCATTTCAGTTATTAGACTATAATACAATGTGATACCTATTGGGTGAACCTCCAATAAATAATCTTTTAAAAGCAGTTATACTATAAATGGAAATGTTAAGTACATCTTTCTTAACAAATTTTTAAAATTCACAACTTGATCCTTAAAATAAAATAGACTATTTAGCTATCCCTTAAGCATTTTTATGATAGATTTTTAAAAGGAAGTGGTTAGTTTCTCATGTATAATAAGTAGTGTTTGGTGGAGGGAATTTTGGAGGGGGGAGAATTTAATAAAAAAGCAATGCAGAAACTAACAACAGTAGGCATACTGTTTTAATTGGCATGATTACATTTTAATTGGCATGAAAAAAATTAAAGACAAGGATTTTAACTTCTAACAATAGTAAAATAGAGGGATATGGTTTTTAATATTACTTTCATCTAAGGTGAACAGTGTGGAATGGAAATACATTAGAATGAAATGTCAGTGGTGCGTACAGTTTAATCTGTGAAATTTTGTCCCCTGTGCTGCATATTACTCTGTCTCAATTGCATATTAAACAACCCTATCAAGGCAGGCATTGGCATCTGCTGTGCTGACACAAATTGTGAATTAAATGAAATTGATGTCCTCTGTCGTATATTTATGAAGACGGACCATTCTCTGAAGTATTCTGTTTATGAAGAATTTATGATTGCAAACTGTTCCAGAACAAAAAAGTGGCAATAAATTCTTTTTTGTGACCCTACCCTCCAAGGGCATTGATTTCACCTCCTGCTGCCACTTTTGTTACAGCATAAAAACAATAGCTAAATCTGGATTCCACTGAGGGTCTTCAAATTATCAATATTTGCACCATGAAAATGGAAGGGTGTTGCCAGGAAAGCCGATGTTGCTGTTATGATCTCCTAAAGATGCTATTTACAGAACACTACACAGCAGATGAATGTCTGTTGATTTAATTTTATTTGTGTTTTAAAGCTTATTTTTGCAGGTTTAATTTATCACTATAAATCCAATCCTCTTTTCCAAACTGTGTGTTTTCAAAAGAAAACCATCCCATCTCCATTCAAAAAACCACCTTCATGACAGAATACTTAAGCTCAACAAACTACAAGGATAGTGAATAGGGTATTATTATTATTACTTTTTTTTTTTTTACAACAAGTAGAATCTAACATGTCAGGTGAGGGTTTGTAGGAAGAATAGTGGAGCTGGCAATTTACAAGTCAGGTAAAATCTAGAATAGCTTTGAGGAGGCCCAGCCCACTTCAAGCTCACCTTAGCTGTGAGCTTTAGGGAATTGCCTTTCACAATACAGAAAAGGAATTTAATTCTCCATGCACAATCTATCCTTGGCCTCTTTAGTATATCATTAAACTTAGACTTCTAGCTCCTGCAAATTTTATGCAGAGGTTCTCTGTCTGTAAACTCTGTCCTGAGAATCTTAATGAATTCTTATCAGTGACCGGGAGGTGGACTTTTAGGCCAAGTTTCCCTCATGTGGAAAGAAAATACAAGTGAATATAGTCCTCTTAATCCACACATGTAGCCAAGACAACACCCACCATCTTAGAATGAAAGCCTCAAATGCTATAACAAAACTGAAATTGACTGAATGTCAATAGAAACTGGAAAAATTCATTCGGATGTCTTACAGGTGGCGCTTGTTGCTAACTAACCTGTGATGTATTCTGGTACATGAAGCTAATCTATGGTTTCTTTATCTGATGCATTAGAAAACCCTAGGAGAGAAGATCCAGGACACAATGGTAGGGCACAGTGGGTTAGGTCCACGTGACCTTCTCTCTCCTGAAAGCGGCAGCCTGGTAAGGCAGCTGGAGGTCAGGATCAAAGAGCTGAAGGGATGGCTGAGAGATACAGAGCTTTTCATCTTCAATTCCTGCCTGAGACAAGAAAAAGAAGGAACAATGAATGCTGAGAAACAACTGCAATACTTTAAGGTAATAAAAAAACAATCAAAGTTGATAAAAAGCTTTCTTTATGGTAAGAATGAAATATTTATCAAGTACATAAAATATTACACCCTCTATCTATGCATTACTGTGCACTTAAATTTATCCCTGAATTCAAAGATACCCTCTATGTTTCTAATACTGAATACTGAACAGTGTCTGCATGTGTACATAGTTTCTATAGATATGCATGTAAGTATAGAACAGACCCGCCTGTTGCAGGGGTGGGGAATGGGTATTAGTTGAGAATTTTTTTTATTCAAAAAACAAAAAAACAAACAAAAAAGATTTGAAATTTTGAAAGGCAATCCTTGGTAATAAAACTAAAAAGATTACATAATTTTTGCTAAAAAGATTCTGAAAAAAATGAAATGAGAAGGGTACAAATGTTTTATTGATAGGCAGTAATGCTGACAAAGAGTAATAGAGTTTCACGCAGTAAAGACTGACTCTTTGGAGAGGTAGGAAACAAAACAGAAGCCCAACATTCTCAACATTAGAGGCACCTAAATATAACAGTGGTAATGCCAGAACCGTGTCCATGAGAAAAGCAAGCCATCATGCTATTTAGTCAAGGCATTTTCCTCCCATTTTATTTCCATTGTTTACACAGAGTGAAAGAAAAAGTAGTAGGGGTTCTAATATGTGTGTTTATACTTTCTAAACCAGTTTGCAAACACAGGCCCACCCAATTTGATTTTGATCTGATCTGCTGACATCAGCATCTCAGGAAAGGCTCTGGCCAATTCACTTGAACAAACATTTGTTAAGTTGCCTATGATGTACAAGATGCTGTGTCCTGTAGGAGATAGAGAGATAAATGAGATGTAATGTTTTTGCTTTCAGGGAGCATATCATCTAATAAGGAAGACTATAGGTACGCATCTCTAATAAAAGTTAGAGCCTCAATAAATGCATAGGAAAGGTACAAAGGTTACAAGAGAACCACGATTAGACATATTACTTTGCATGCAGGATGAGGAAGCTTGGAAAGCTACAGGGAGGCAGCTGGACCTGACTTGCCCATTTTCTGCAGGAAGAGAAGGATTTTAAGAGGTGAAGATATGGCATCAAATGATCATAGGACCATAGAAAGAACCTTAGAAGTCATCTAATTTAATCCCTACATTACAAAATAATATATTTTTTTAAAAAATCATTAAGCGTTTTTCCTCCTTCCCCTACCCACTGAAGAAGGAAGGAACATTGTATCATAGAAGTAGGGTCAAATAAAATAAATTGTTACATTGGCCATATACAAAAATATGGTTCTTGTTCTTCATTTTAATCCATCATTTCTCTGTCATGAATTGGGCAGCATTCCAACCTCCTCATTTTACAGGTGAGAAAACTGAGGGCCACGGAGGTTTTTATAAAGTCAGGAGTGGACCTGAGTCTTCTGACCCCAAATCCAGAACTCTTTCTGTCATGGAACAATGTGAACAGAGGTGTTTAGGTTTCTTCTAAAACTTGAAGGGCTTTAAAGAGGAAGAAGACAGATTCACCTTCAATGGCCAAGAAAACATTTCTCCATTTTCTAAGCAGTTTGCAGTTCTTGCTGGACTCAGTTATGCATTGTCCACTCTTGGGCAGGTAGGCTGACCTTAGCTACCCGATTGCTGATAGTCTGAAGGTGAAAGAACACTCCCATTCCCCTCACCCTGAGCATGTACCTGTTAATTGTGTCCAAAGTGGCTAACACATAGTAGGTCTTAATGAATACTTGTTGATTGATTGATTTCCATACTACTTTGGCCAGAAACTTCCTATCTTTGCGACTGACTGAAAAAAAATCAAATATATTACCTTAGGAACTGTCTTGCCAGGGCAGGCTGCACATTTTACAAAGCAGTCTAGGGGAAGCTAGGATAGAGCACCGACCCTGAAGTCAGGAGGACCTGAGTTCAAATGTGACCTCAGACCAAAGACTTGACACTTACTGTGTGACCCTGGGCAAGTCACTTAACACCAACTGCCAAAAAAAAAACCCCCACAAAAAACCAGTCTACATATTTATAGGAAATGGTTTGTTTCTTCAAAGATTGAATCTTGCTTTTAGACAGATAACTATGGACTATATGAACCTCTGGTATACTTTAAGGAATATGCTAGATTGGCAGTTAATAGAAAGGGTTAATAGGAAGTATCTTTTAACCTCTTTTTTATTATAATGCTACATTTTTTTTTGTATAGGCATGCTTATATGCATGACTAGTTCTAAGTCTATATATATGGCACAGAATACTGGGATTGTAGTCAGTTCCTGACCTAAATTCCAATCCTAGTTTGGATACTTATATAACCATAGGCACGTGATTTAATGTTTCTAAGCCTAGGTTTTATTACATCTGAAGTGGGGATAATGTTATCACCAATAGCAATAATAGTAGAAGTAGCAGCAACAATTAGCATTTATATAACACTATAAGGTTTGAAAAATATTTGATAGATGGATGACATATATTATGCATATACATATATTATGTAATAATAACATAATAACTCTTATTTCTTATTTGATTCTCACAAATACTTGATTCTCATGAATACTCTGAGGAACCCTGAGAGGTGGGTGCTATTTTGCTCATTTTATGAATGAGGAAAATGAGACTGAGAGTGGTAATGTCTACATCACAGGGATTCTGTGACATTCCAATGAATTAATGTGTGTAACGCAGTCTGCAAACTTCAAAGAATTAAATGAATAGTGGTAATAGTAGTCATAGTCATACTATTCACATTTTAAAACTGGAATCCTGTTGTCATCATGACCACCATAATCTGTGTATGATCTATACTACTGAACTTTAGCAAGCATTTAAAAAAATCCTAATGAGCACTATAATTGTATCCTGAAAAATAAGCAAGGAGCAGATATTCATTTTGTTGCAGTTTTTAGGATGCTTCATATAGTAAAATCATTTGTTTAAGTAGGAGTGACAACTAAGAAGGAGGAAAGTTAGAAATTAGAGAATAGAAAAAAAGGAGAATAGGGGCAAAGAGGGGGTAAAAGATTCTGACTGCATAAACTGTTCCCTGAGGCCAGGGTAGGTGATGCAGGCCTGTAATCTTTGCTGCTGGGGAGGCTCAGGCTGATGGATCCCTTGAGTCTGAGAGTTCTGAGAAGCAGTAGGCTCTGAAAGTCTATCTGGTGTTAGCATGAAGTCCAGAACTAATATGGTGAGCCCAGGCTTCCTGGAGAGGGAGGAGTCCCTCCCTACGCAGCCTGATGGGAGAGAGCCCATCAAAGCTTCTCTGCTGTTCTGTCGAGTCAGGTCCATGGCCACTGGGAGAGTTAGGGAGGCCAAGTCTCAAAAAACAAACACAGCAATAAGCAACCTGTTCCTTGGGAGTGATTGAGGCCTTTGGGAAGGCCTCGGACTCTTTCATGTCATTAGAATAACACTGAATATTTGATTATTTCAGCTCAAAAACATGTAGAATACTATCATGTTTTCTTACTTTATAATACTTTTTTTGTCTGCATTCTTAATAGTTCCAGGAAGCAACTTGCTGAGAAGATCTGGCTCAGTTAAGCCTCATTTCTCAAAAAGAAAAGAAAAGTTTCCTTACTTCTTTGTGATAGACTGAAGGTCTCCTCACTGACAACAGATATTTTGATGAGAGAATGAATAGATTTGACTGTTGAAGCCCTTGTGATTTGAAATAGTTTTGATAACTCTAGTTAATATTTTCTGTTTCACATCCTAGATTGGTATTGTGCAGATTTGTTGAAGTCAATAAAACCTGGGTTTTTTTCTCTTGCCCTGGAATCCCCATCTCTGCGGTAGTATTAGATTAAGGTCTAGACATAGTTGATTATACACTGGTTAGATGCATCTGGTTACGATAATTCTTTAAAGGAACTGCTAGATTTGCCTCCTGAAACCCTAGGACTATAGAAAAACAATAATGTTTGTTTTACGTAAACACAGTCAGAAGTTTAAAAGTTTCTTAGCAATTAACATTTTAGTGCCTAGGGTATTATTCATCGAAGGCACTACATATGAGAGACAGTGCACAAGGAAAGGGGTACTTTGGAAGAATGGACAGAGGCACTTAACACCAGGCAGAATTCTGATTAGAGGTAATAAGGATGCACTGAGTAAAATGTCTTACTTCCTGATACACCAAAAAAGGACGCCCTTTGCCAATAGGAGGTGCCAAACAGCTCAGGTTTTAGAGGGTTAAGAAAATTTTAAACCTGTAGATAAACTCTTTAGAGGAAAGATTTTGGATTGTTACATGCCTAAAAGTAATCTTTTTTTTTTTTAAAGATTTTAGTGATGTCTTTTTTTATATCACTTTAATTTCCCCTTGTATCCCTTCTCCACTTCCCTACCCTGAGAGCTATCCTGTATAACAAATAGTTTTCTTAAAACAAAAATAGGAAAGAAAAGAAAAAACCAGCACAACAGATGAATACATCAAAATAGTCTGAAAATATATGCAATGAATAACACTTAGGGACCTTTCATCTCTGTGGAGTGATGGGGTAATGGTGTGTTCTCATAGCTCTTCCCTTTAGCCATGTTCATTCTTTGTAATTTTGAAAATTTGACTTTTGACTTTTTCCATGTTTTTTTTCACGCATGTGGTTGTAGTATGTATGTTATTTGCTTGGTTATGATTACTTCTCTGCATTAATTCATATAGAAAAGATCTTTCCATGTTTCTCTTCTGGATTCATTACATTTCTTATAACATTCTGCTTTTAACTGTGTATTCGTAGTCACCTCTGCCTGTACTGGTTACACAGTGGAGAAGAGAATTCATCCATAAGCTATATCTTTATTAACTCTGTTTTCTGAATCTGAGTCTCTTAATGGAATCAAATCCTCTTTCAGTTGTTGTTCAGTTCTGTCTGACTCATTGTGATCCCATTTGGGGGTTTCTTGGCAAAGGCAGCAGAGTGGTTTGCCATTTCCTTTTCTAGCTCATTTTACAGATGAGGAAACCAAGGCAAACAGGGTTAAATGACTTGTCCT